CCTTTCCTGGAGCTCACTTGGTAGCCCAGGCTGGCCTCGAACTCACAGAGATCCGCCTGGCTCTGCCTCCCGAGTGCTGGGATTAAAGGCGTGCGCCACCAACGCCCGGCGTGACATTTTTATTTAAACCGAAAATGCAAATTTTATTTTGCTAAGTCTATAAATTAAAGAAAATTATCACAAATGGGAAGATACTTATAAACATATAAAAAATAAATAAAAACCATTAATTTAACTATCGAAAAAATTAGATATATTTATATGTATGGGTGTTTTGCCTATATGTCTGTGTACCACATGTATCCCTGGTTACCAAGGAGTTCAGACAGGGAATCAGATCCCCTGGACCCGGAGTTAGGGATGGTTGTGAGCTACCATGTAAGGAGTGGGAACTGAACAAAGATACATATACACATGCATATGTATGTGTGTGTGTGTGTGTGTGTACTTCAATATAATTTTATTTTATTTTCCTTTTATTAAAAAGTTTTTTTCTTCAAAAATATATGCTAATTACAATTTCCCCTCCCTCTACTCTTGACAGTTCCTCTCCACCTCCTCTCCCACCTGAATTCACTGCTTTCTGTCTCTCATTAGAAAAGAATGGGCATCTAAGAGATAACAAAATAAAATATAATAAGATAAAACAAAAGCCATCACACTGAAGCTGGACCAGGCAAACCAATAGAAGGAAAAGAGGAGCCCTCAGAGCAGGCACAAGAATCAGAGCTCCCCTTGCTCACACACTCAGGAGTTCCATAAAAACACTGAGCTGAAAGCCAACTATACACAGAGGACCTGGTGCGGCCCGTGCAGGCCCGTGCAGCTGCTTCCGTCTCTGTGAGTTCACATGAGCTCTGCTCAGCTGATTTAGAGGGCCTTGTCCTCCCAGTGTCCTCCATCCCCCCTCTGGCTCCCACATTCCTTCCGCCTCCTGTTTCACAGGGTTCCCTGAGCTTTGAGGGGAGGTATTTGATGGAAACATCCCTGTAGCAAGCTTTCTCATCAGACTTTCTTGGACCGCCAACCCACAAATAACTACATGGAGACTTTTTATTAATTATAAAAGCTTGGCCATTAGCTTAGGCTGGTCCCACTAGCTCTTATAACTCAAATTAACCTGTTTCTATTAATCTATGTTCTGCCACATGGCTCAGTTACCTCTGCTCTGTACCGTACGTCCGACTTCTTCAGAGTCTCACTGGCATCACCACATGCCTAGATTTCTCCTTCTACTTTCTCTCTGCCCAGAAGTCCAACCTATACCTCCTGCCCACCTAATGGCCATTCATCTTTTTATTACACCAATCACAGCAATACATTTTCATACAGTATACAAACAAGCCCCAATAAAGAACTTTCATCCAAGATATATGAAGGTCTCCTACACATAAACTTCTTTTAAAAACTCAATTCTGAACATTATGTGTGAGGATTTGCAAAATAATTGAAGTCTCTGAATGTGACCTTATCTTCTTCCAGAGAAAACTTACATTTGTTTCTGCCAAACATCTAACTTGGGTGGGCTGGCAACTGGTTCTCAATTATCTGCTGAGGACAGTGACTGTCTGCAATCAGCGTCAGTATTTGTGAATGCCAGTCTGTCTCCAGGCACTGCGACTCCTGAGGTCTACTTTTCAGAGTTATATGCCATCACAAAATCCAGTTATGGTGCTCTTTTAGCCACAGGGTCTGTCAACAGGCCTGCTCAGATTTTCAGTTTCTTGGCCAATGCACCAAGCACTAGTGAGCTCCTGTAACTGAGCATCCCAGTTCTTGGGGTCTTGACTATGCACCCCACTGCCTTGGCAACTTGACGGTGGCTTCAAATAACTGTACTTTTTGTTTACCTCGGCTATTTTTGGCAAAGGGTTGTTGGTTTAATATAATTAATAATCACTATCACAATTATTAATTTAGCACACCTACCCATGTTTCATAAAAAGGCCTAGAACTGAAGACATTCCAGTAGCAAGAAACAGCACATGCACCCACACTTTGGGTTCTAAACAGCACTGCCATTATAAGAGAAATGGTGGATTTGGAGTTCCAGGATGGAAACATACAAATCACACCAAGATGTGTGGATGTGTGTGTGTGTGTGTGTGTGTGTGTGTGTGTGTGTGTATTACTAGAAAGCAAGGAAGCACTCAAAGACCATTATGTTAAAAGGAGACAGAAACTGTTTAGCCCATTGACCAAATTTGTATTTCAGCATCACACAAAATAATGGTGAAAAGTGACTGTGACATACAACACATATCAAAATCTACTAGGCTAAAAAGAGAATGGAGAGAAAAAGTAGTTCACATCTCTGGGAAACATTCTAAATATCAGTGAGAAAAGAGAAAGCAATGGGGCACGCACTTCTCTTGCCTTTTTAACACCAAGTATATGTCCAGGTAAGCACACCTGCCTAACTACCAAAAGGAAGATCGTTACTGAAGACTGTCAGCTAACAACTCAGTAAGGAGTGATAAAACTATAAAAGAAATCATCAATCAGAAAACCATTCAAAGCCGGTTGATTCAGAAAAGAGGTAAAAATAGCTGCTAAGGCATTTAAGAGAAAATGCCTTAGCCAATCCATGTAACACCAAGGTAGCACCCCTCATGTTACATTCTAGTGCTAAGAGGAAAGTTCCTTAGACTAATCAAATTGAGTTTATTAGAGCAAAGCAAAACAAAACCTAGTCACATATCAGGCAACTCCCAGAACCAGAGCAAGTTCTGAGAAATCCAACCAACAATACAAGATGGCATTTAGAGAAAAATGGAGGGAGCCAGAAAGCAAGACAAGTACTAAAGCCTCGTCAACTGTTACTGCTTTGCTAATTAACTGGCTGCAGCATTTCTTACAACTAAGCAGACCGTGATTAAATTATATTGGTTTGGTAGATTCTAATGGGTCCAATTCGGATGCTCAATCCAAGTCCACAGCCTCCCACAAACTTTTATTGACTAGCAACAAAAGGAAAACGATAACATAGGTTATCTGGCTGACATGACCTGAGGCAGGTGGCCCAAGTTACTAGCAGCCAAGCACAGTGGTACACACCTGCAATACCAGTATTTAGAAGGATCCCTAGCCTGGGTTACATCATGTCTTAGTTTGGATTTCTGTTACTGTGACAAACATCATGACCAAAAGCAACTTGGGGAGGAAAGGGTACATTTCAGCTTACAGTTGTAGTGCATCACGAGGAAAAGTCAAGGAACCTGGAGGAAGGAACTTAAAACAGAGGCCATGGAGGACCATCCAGGACCACCTCCCTACGGGTGGTACAGCCCAGAGAGCTAGGCCCTCCCACATCCATCATTAATCAAGACAATATCACACAGACTTGCCTATAGGCAATTCCCCAATTGCAATTCCCCCCACCCAAATATGTCTTAAGTTTGTGTGAAGTTGACAAAAACCATCCAGAGCACACAGTACGACCTTGTTTACAAATCAATCAAATGAGACTATTCATCATATGCCTTCTGGTGTAATATGCTACAAATAGTAAATGAGTCTTTTCTATCATATACTTGTAAAACTTGTGTTTACAACATGGAATTCAAATCTTTTCATCTTCCCCACCTTTTAAGTCTTTTATACAAATGTTTCAAGCCCACACAGACCAGGTAAAATCTTTGTTTACACAAAGGCCTCCTGCTGCATTCCAGGAATTAGATGGAGCAGGGACCCCTTTCCCCTTCTTCCTTCATTTCCTATAAGGCAATTCTTTCTGTCTAGCCAACTGCCTAAGACTGTAAAGTCAGCCCCCAGCCAATGTGGAAAAAGACACAGTGATCACTTGAGTTACAATAAAAACAGAGCACTTCTTGTCTCTGTGGGTTCCATCCTCCGAGCACACCTTCTGGATAAGAATGAGGTTTGCCTTGTCCAGACACAGCAAACTTCAGCTGAAGTGGCGGTCTCTTTGGTTTCCACCCTGAATTTATTTTTAACATCATTTAGTATGAAGTTCACAGCTTCCCTGGGAGGCATTCTTGCTAAAATTGTTTAACTTGGATCTCATCAAGTTTACATCCAACTTCCATTTCATAAAAAAAGACACAGAAAAAAGCTAAGCATGAGACACAGACCATGCAAAATGAAGACCAGCCAACTCTATGGCCTTTATATTTACAATGTTCTTTTTTAATTCAGGGATTAAATTTTTAAAAAATGCATGGTACTATCTCAGGAACTCTACAACACCCAGACTTTTCCCTAAAATCTTTGCTTTCTGAGTAATTGCCCAGTCTGGCCTCAAACTCTTGCCTTCAGGAATATTCCATCGCCAGCCACCCAAGTAGCTGAACTATGAGCATGCCCCACTGCGCCTCTTAAAACCTTTTAAGAGCACTCACCTGTTACATTTTCCTCAGTGGTATCAAATTGAATTGGTGGAGCTTAAATTAGATTGAGCACTCAGTTTCACTTTAGAACATTATGTAGCTGCCTACTTTGCAGAATTTGTAAATTGAGTATACTCTTCTTGAGCATACAAATTACTAGGGTGTGGACTTAGCTTTGTCATCCATTAACTGAGATAGTCTAAAGAAAACAGTATCATGACTATTTAAATTTATGCCTGATGTGCATTACTTATATAACATCTTCGTTATTTTAAATGATAAATGTAATTGCTAAGAACGCGATATCTGTCTCTGTTCCAGTAGAGTAACATCTAAGAAACAGAACGCGCACCAGAAAAATGGCAGAGTTGATGAATGAGACTTCCGTAACTGAAGAGGTAAAGTCAACTACTGAAGGATGTGAGGGACAAGTTTTGAGTGCTGTAGAAACTATGCTTCTCAAACATCAGGGCATATACTAACCACTGGGGTTAGTCAGGATTCAAAATCGGATTCAGTAGGTCTGTAATGGGACCCCACAAGTCTAATATGCTCGGGTGCTGCTATTGCTCTTGCTGGTGTATGAGTAACAAGGCTGGGTATGTAAAGAACGCGCCTTCACTATCACTACTAGCTCAAACTTTACATCTTTTAATGGTCAGTTACTGCAGCAGCACTATTTGATAGGCTCGGACAAGTTTCTCGAGGTCACGGAGCCAAGAGGTCTGAAAGCAGGACTCAAACATAGGCTGAGTCTCAGAATAACTCAATGTAGAGGCAGACCCAAGAGTTCTGAGCAGGTCCAGAACTATTTTCGGCATCATTCTTATGGGTAGTAGGGTCCTGGCAGAACTACTGCGCCTCTGGAACAGACAGAAGTCGCTTTTCCCTGTACCTAGAGGTGAACGAGGAACCTACACTGCAGGCGCCTGCACTTTCGGGGGGTTCCTGACCCGGTTCAACGTACACAACCTTCCGGTCTGGGGCAGGTCCTCCGGGTGGTCCCAGCCCGGTGGACGGGGGCGGGGCCTGTGCGTGAGAAAGGTTCCGGGCGGCCCGTACCACCGCGCACAGGGGGGAGTGGTTTCCCGGGGCCCGGCTGCGTCTCGCCTCGGCGCCGGGGGGCGAGGCCGAGGCGTTCCGAAACTGGCCCTTCGCACCCTGGTCGGGCGCCGAGCAGCGAACGCGGGCTCTTCCTCCCAGCCCGCTCCTAAACTCTTCCCTCGGCCCCTCGACCGAGTGGAAGGCCCCGGAAATAGGGGCCAGCCTGAGAGCGCGGCCGCCCCGTCCCCAGCTCCGCTGCCCAGCGCGCAGGCTCCCCGGTCGTCCGCCCTTACCAGCTCTTTGGGAGGCTTCTCCTGGGTTTTTCCAAACAGCCCCATGACGAACTGGACTCCCCTCACCCTTCCCGACTTTCCGCTCCCTGCGCCCAGGCAGGTCACGGGCAGCCGCCTGGGCGGGGCCGCGAGGAAGGGAATCCAGACGCCCGGAGAAGGGCGCGGCGGCAGCTGGGGTAGTACGCACGCGCGCTGCGCAGGCGCAGGAGTTGAGTTGGGTGGGGTTTACAATCCGATGACGCCATTGCGCAAGTTAAGGGCGCCTAAGTGAAGTATAGAAGTGATTGTATTTATTGACTGCGTTCAAAACATGTGAGTTATCCTAGAAATCTGTCTCTCAACGCTGTCACGCACATGTACAACCACTTCCCAGATGTTTGTGAGTAGCTACCCAGCTCAAAAGCTTGACCCGTCATCTTCTTTCCCCTTTTTTGGAAGTCTCAAAAGTTCTAACTTTTCATCGAGTCAAAACTTAAGCCCTGGAGGAAGGTTAGCGCGGACGGAGCGGCGAAGGCGGAGCCCAAGCGGCGCTCGGCGAGGCTGTCGGCCAAGCCCGCCCCTGCCAAGGTGGACGCGAAGCCGAAGAAGGCCGCGGGGAAGGATAAACCATCAGACAAAAAAGTGCAAACAAAAGGGAAAAGGGGAGCAAAGGGCAAACAGGCGGAGGTGGCTGACCAGCAAACCACAGATGTGCCTGCAGAAAATGGAGAGGCTGAGAACCAGAGTCCAGCCTCTGAAGTCGAAGAGAAAGAAGCCAAGTCCGACTAACCATCCATCGTGTCTGTCAGTGTCCCGCCTCCCTTCTTGTACAATCCAGAGGAATATTTTTATCAACTATTTTGTAAATGCGAGTTTTTTAGTAGCTCTAGAAACATTTTTAAAAGGTGGGGGGAAGTCCCGCCTCATCCCATTTTTTAAGTGTA